CTGCTTGACCCCCTTGGCTCTTGACAGGAGTTAGGGAAGAAAGGGGAAAAAAGAATATTTTTTTTTTCCCCTTAAAGGATGAGAGAATAAAGACCTCCAAGTCTCTTTCTGCTTCACACTGAGATTTTTTTTCCTCCAAGGCTGTCTGTTTTGGCAGACAGACATTTCTCACCACAAGACAAGCTTTTGAAAACCAGCAACAAAAATTCAAGGACTCTCCATGCCCACGTTGGCTTTAAAATATCCTGCTGACCAAAGGCTTTCATCTGAAATGAGCCTTGAGCTGGTTCCTGCCCCCACCTGGGGTCCATGGCTCAGACCCTGAAGCTCTTTGACATTCCCCAGGGGGATCCTATCTCATGGGGGAGCAGTGAATGAGACATCACCACACCCCACACCTCTATTTGCCATCCCTTTGCTCCAGCTCCTGCCACCACCCTCCTCTCTGCCTCCTGTTGAACACCACACCAACACCTCGTTGTAACACTCCCAACAGTTGGTTCCAGACTGGAAAGCAGAGTGATGCAGGAGGGTGTTTATAGAGCCCTGACACATGCTGAACGAGAGGGGATGATGCAAACGAGCTCAAATCTGCACTCCAGAGATACATTAAGGGGTTGTAAATAGATTGTGCCAAACATTACTCATGTCCCAGGGCTGACATCTGGAGCAGGCTTCCTTTCTGCCTTAGGCAGCACCCCAAAACTAACTGGTGAGGTATAACCGTGCAGGCTGGGGTGTGCTGTAGCAGGGTGAGGGCAGTGCTGTACCTCTATCAGGTAGTCCTTGGGGTCACAGGTGCTGAAGGCTCTTCTGAAGAGGAGGTAGAGCCCCTCAGGAGCCTTCCGAGCCGTGAGGAGCTGGTAGTCCTGCTGGGAGTCCATGTGGAGCTGCCCCTTGGCATCACTCCAGGCATCCTGTGGGAAGAAGGGCACCTCAAGAAGCCAGGAGGATCTGCTGGCCCCCCTCAGCCCAAGGAACCAATGACAGTGACCTCCAGCAGTCCCATGGGCTGAGGTCCTCCTTGTGTTCACCCTCTGGTTCATGCACCCTCTGCACCCCAGAGGTGTTGGGAGCCTGTGTTTTGGTTGCCCCGTGCCCCTCTCCAGCAGCCCACGGGCAGAACTGGGCTGGCACAGCCCCTGCCAGGAGACCCTTGGTGCTCAGCCCAGGCAGATCTGTGAAATGGGTGACCCAGCATTAACAGTCTGCAGAAAGACCCTTACAAGTTGAGATGTGCTGGGGGGAGCAAAGCCCACAGGGACACACGAGGGTGTTGCATCAGTCTGTGCTGTGTTTTGGGTGTATTCAGCTAGGGGGAGGACCTTCAGAGGGGATGATGTGCCCTCCAAGACCCTTGTCACAATCCAGCTGCTCTCAGTTTAAGATCTGTCCCTTGCTGCTCTGTAGTGACAGCCCTAGAATTTGCTACCACTCTTCAAAATCCTTAATTTGTAGTGACCAGACTGCTTCAGCAACCCAAGGCCTCCCAAAACCTGCTCTCTGTGAAGCAAAGCAGTAGGTTAGTCCTGTGCTTAAGGATTTGAAGGTTGGGAGTATAAAATCCTGCAAAAATTTGGATTTGAACAGTGCTGTTGTGTTGATGTTTTGCACCTCCCGTTGATATCTTTTGTTTATTGAGGAAAGGCACCTAAGAAGTACCTTGTACATACACAAGTAACATTGATTCTCTTATCCTGGGGGGGGAAAAAATAGAAGAAAAAGAATAAAGCATCTTGGCATCATTTCAGCCAGAAGTATAGAGTGACATTTCGAGAACATATTGTCCTTAGAGGGGGAAAGTAAAATCAGCTACATGAAGCTACCATGACATTTGTTTTCGTAGGAATATAGTGTTCAAATTAATCTTGTAGTACATGGGAGGTTAAGCAAATTTGGATCTTTCTAACAGTTGACATACTTATTCAGAGAGAAAAAAAAGCTGCTGGGAGAGAGAGAAAACCAGGATTGGGGAGATTTATCAAAATCTCCTTGCAGGATGCTGTTCAGCACCAAGAGAAAAAGCCCAAACGCTGCCTGGTGTTTAATTCAGTACTGTTTGTCTTTCTGCGAGCACATGAAGGCAGATTAGAAATGATCCTTTATGTTTTTTTAACATGATGCTGTGAAATACTGTAGCATTTGGGCTGCCACGCATCCTGAATGGCTGGTAATTAGCAAGAAAACAGCACAGATAATAAGCCCTTCTTTTCATCCTTTCATTACACTGCAGATCACATTGCGGCTGATTGTGAAAGAATGTATTTTATGGTTAATTTGAGGTAAGCAGAGAGGTAAAATTTAACTTACTGGAAAGCCTCACGCAGGGAAAAGATGTGAATTGCTTGCTGCAGCCAAGCATAATTGTAATAAGCCTAACGGGGTGGTCTGGGGATAAAGAGCTGCTGGAGAGGCACTTACTGCAACCTCGGGAGAAAGGCAAAGCAAAGAAGGAGCTGGACACACAGGCTGTGGCTGGAAGGACAGCAGTTGGCAGCAGCAATATCACCCAGCAAAGCTGGAGCTGAGCGTGTTGCCCCTGCTCCCAGCAGGTGTTTACATTGACACCCCACCCGAGGCTGGCACGGTTGGTTCCTGGCTGGCAGCCGGGGGGTCGGGTTTTCCCGTGCCCTGCTGAGCTCTGCCGTGGGACACGACTCCCAGGTGGGTTACTGGGGCTGGCAGGAGCAGCCTTCCTGTCTGACAGCTCTTGCACCGGCTCCAAGTTGTTCACGAGGGCTTTGGTTCATTTTGGGTGTGTCTGACAGCAGTGCACAAGTCACCCAAGGTGTTGGTGCCTCCTGCGTGTGCGTGAGCTGGTCCATCCAAACACCTACCAGAGCTCTTTGCAGCTAACCACAGCCGAGACTTCCAGGTTCTGCTTCCACTCAGCCTTTCCATTCATTCTTTTCTCTTTAGGTTTAAGGTCCAAACCCTTAGCACAGACCCCATCCGTGGCCTCTCTGGGATAGAAACCCCCAAACCCTTTGGGATCCCTTCCACCGGAGCAGCGGGAGTGCTCCGGTGTGCACAACACCTTGGACCAGCCCTGCCCTTTCCAATCCCAATTCAGGCTCACCCAGGGGGAGGAAGCCCCAAAAACACCCGTGCAGGTCTCACAATGACTCACCCCAAAATAAGACCTGTGCCCATCGCTCCAGAGCACGGCCAGGTCGGCGTTCTCGAACTCGCCCCTGTCCGACATCCCGAAGAGGAGCCCAAACTTCAGCTTCTTGGCCAGGAGCTGGAAATGCACGACTTGCTGGGGGTAGCTGACGTTCCAGGAGAGCTCCAGCA